ATGCTTTGGAAAGAGGCGTTATCCCTGCATAGTGATGTTCTATGTGTGCAGGAGACCCACTTCTGTAGAGATAAACCTCCTATATGTAAACATCGTGAGTTTTCCCATTATTTTTTTGCTCTCTCTGATAAAAAAAACAAGGGTGTCATGATAGCCATTAAAGACCCCTGCCAGGGTTAAAAACAAAAACACAAAAAAACACAAAAAAAAAAAAAAACCTGCTTTTACATATATTAGTCACTTCTTAGGCCTCCACAGTTATCACATGCTTTTTTATTTTGAGATGGTTGGAAGAACACTTCCTCCACTTACTGTCGTGAATATAGACTGCATTATTTACTAATAATTTATTAATTTATTAGTTATTATTATTTTCTATATGTCTGTATCTATGTTGTATTATTTTTGTTCTTATTCTTGTTCTATTGATAAAACCTAATAAATTAATTGTAAAAAAAAAAAAGAACAGAAGGTATTCACATGTCCGGTCTCATCACATATCCCGAAAATAAGAGGATGCATACCCAGAACCTCTGGGGTATAGTGCAAATGCAGCCTTATATTATACAGCATACAGCTCTTTAACAGCTCAGGGCTGTTGATAGGGGATTACACAGAGAAGCTCAGAAACCCAGTGATGATGTCAATGGGTCTAAAATAAGATATGTACGTAGTAAACACAGAAATGTTTTATTTAAATATTTCATTAGCATCTTAATGAGAGGACCATGGAAGACAAAATATATGCAGATTAAAAAGAGAACTATGTGATAACCTTTTTATCTCATAGTTCTCTTTAGGGTCAAGGGAGGACATATACTAACCTCCTCCCGTGACCCAAAGCTCAGTATATATCGGGCTATAGCTCGGTATATACTGAGAGCACCGCAGCCAGGACAGATCCCGACAATACTGTTGAGATCCACCCAGCTGGCTGATTGACAGCTGGCTCTGCCTATCTAGAGGCAAAGCCAGCTGTGCCTACACCCTGCCCCGTCCGTTCCTCCATTCAGCGCTGGAGGAACGGCAAGGGGAGGGGGGAATCCATGCGGGGTGCAGTGACTGACAAGACAGCGCTCATTGCAGGGAGATGATCGGGAAGTGAGCAAGCGATGGTATGTGTTCGATCACTTCCCAATCTATTGAGCCGACGTGTGACAGTTTCATTGTCACGCGTCGGCTCTATCTATGAGGATGAGTGTAAATCACTGACCTCATAGTTCTCCTTTAAAGTTCAGCTGTAAGCCGCAAATCTAAAACTATGAGCTGGGTTTCTGATCCTGCTCCACAGTGCTCCATAGGGGCTCTCTGTAGAAGGAAATGTAAACACAAGGAAGTGACATCATGGCACTTCCTGTCCGTACGGAATCCATAACTGATAAACTAAAAACAGAACAAAATCAAATGTCCCTTAAACCATCAAATATTTATTTAACCCATAAAAGAAAATGGAATACCTTACACTTTTCTCATGGATCCTTCCGAAGCTGGTGTAAGGGAGGAGAAATCTACTGGAGATGTTCTCAGCAGGACACGAGATCCGCAAACTCTTCTGTAAAATAAAGAATGGACACAATGCATGTTTATTACTTTCCATCAACAGCATTGCCACTGACTTACAGGTCAGGTCCGTAGCAGAGCTGGTAGGTGTGTGGTAGCGCTGAAATGGTGAAGGACTAGATTGATGTTTTCTATACACTGAGTGGCCAGATTATTATATACACTGAGTGGCCGGATTATTATATACACTGAGTGGCCGGATAGGTAATTCTCTTTTGAGAAAGTTACAGGTCATGGTGAAAAGGGACTAAACCAGGGGTGGGCCCTCTAGCTATTGTGGAACTACAAGTCCCATGAGACATTGCAAGACTCTGACAGTTACAGTCATGACTCCCAGAGGCAGCGACATGATGGGATTTGTTGTTAAAGCACAGCTGTAGGGCCAGAGTTGCCAACCCCTGGGTTAAAGGAATCAAAAAGTGCTCCAACCAAGTCAGTGCAGAGCGCAGTAGTGTCTTCTTAGAATGCCTAATTATATCACATATCATAAAAATAGCAGGATTATTCCTCATTTCAGGACAGTGGGCGGAGCCATGCAAATCATTGCTTTACACCACCAAACAGCCAAATGCACCTCCGGAACCGTTTGTCTATAGGGCAAATATTGCAAAGCCCTTTTTCCAAACTGCATACAAGTGTTCTAGTGTTTCAGGTTTTCTGGCCATCAGCAGTGCAGGGTATGCAACCCATGTCTTTACTGTGCTATACATTGATTTAGTTGGAGGACTTTTTAATTATTTTAGAACCATGTCCAGTATGGCTATACTGTCTTGTTGGATCCCAAGCTCTACTCCATAAAAGTCATAGTTTCCATACACTGCACTCATGATAGTCAACTAGCCTGAAACCTTCAGGGCCCACTGTCATGTTGGCGGAGAGGTTCTGTGGCCCCAATGGGTTTTCTTTATCTCTCCCCGCCTGGGGATCTCTCTTGGGAGAGTCCTCACCAAGTACTTGGTGGACCGGCTTCAACAGCCCCCTAAGTATCGGCGTCTGCCTGGCTTTAGCCTAGGTGGACCAGGGTTACCTTGCCCGCCAGGAGCCCTGCTTGTGCCCTGGGGGGTTTCAGGGAATTGTGGACCAAAAGCACCCTCGTGCACTTTTTATTTTAGTGCGTCGGTTCACTTTTTTTTGTACACAGGGGAAGTCTGATCCACGCACAGCTGTATGCAGTTTGGAATAAATGGCTTGTGTTAGTCTCCATGTGTAATACCAGCAGTTCTGGATGTGCATTTGGCTGATGGGGTGTAAAGAAATAATTTGCACGGCTCTGCCCGCTGCCCTGAAATGGGGAACAATTCTCTAATTTTGGGGCTATGTGATGAAATGAGTCATGTGATCACCTTCTGTACTAAGAAGACTTTCCTGTGCTATGCAATGACACAGTCTATGAATCCATTATTTAACCCATTTAACCCCGATTATTTAGGCTGGGGGTTGAATTCGGGTATTTTTGGCCAACATTAGATCCGCAAGGAGACGGCCGTTACCTTTGTAATCTCATGAATGACAAACTCTTCCGAGGAAGTGATTTCGGGGACGCCGTCTGAGCCCACTCCATTGCACTTCAGACTCCCATAGATGGTGGGTTTACCTAGAAGGCAGAAAAGTGCAGAAGTTGAGAAGTGCAGCTGTGACTGTAGCAGTACACAGTAGCCGGCAGGACAGGGCCCTGATCACATGACCACTCACAGCCAATACCAGTCATTATATGATCAGGATTCCTGGGAAACACTTTAAGCATAAGGATCTGCTTACAGAGATTCGGCAGGGGAGGGGGGGATGGGAAGCAGTGTATAATGGCTAGAATATATGGAATAAAAAGAAAACTGGCAGTAGCTCAGGGTTTCACCTTATTAGACAGGGCACCAGGTCGAGAAGAGGAAGGGGGGGGGGAGGACAGACGAATAACAGGTTCATTTTAAGGGCCCAGTCACACCATAAAGAGTGCGTTCCAGAGCGTTCAGCCTCTGGAACGCAACCCCGCCAGCTCACTTTGTTTTGGGGTGGGAGGGGGTGTAGTGGTGCATTGAACTCAATGGCAACGCAGCCACGCCCTCCAGCCGCAGTCGATCGCCGGCACCCAAACGCGTGGCACAGTAGTGCCTGCGTTCTGGTCCAGTGCCATCTGCAAAAAAAATCATGCAGCAATTGTGCAGATCGCACTTGACTGAAACGCGCTCGGGTGCCAGCGATCATACTGCGGGCAGGGGGCGTGGCTTCGGTGCCATTGACTTCAATGCACCGCCACACCCCCTCCTGCTCCAAAACAAAGTGAGCCGATGAGGTTGCGTTCCAGAGGCCGAACGCTCTGGAACGCACTCTATATGGTGTGACTGGGCCCTAAAGATTACTGGTACTACAAATTGGAAGGTGAACTTCTTACATTTTGTTCATCTTCATGTGACCTTGTCATTCAGTCTGCAACAGGCGTACCCCTGACAACCTGTGGAGGACTGAAGCATCATGGGAGCTGTAGTTCTGTTCTAAACCCCGATCTACTGGCTCTTTGACATCATCCTCCCGGCAGCTCTCACGTTGAACAATCTCAGCAGCGCATTTTAGCAATGATTGCTTGAATATTTTAGATATGTCTCGCCAGGCGTGGGCAACTTCAGCCCTCCAGCTGTGCTTTAACTACAACTCCCAACATTCCTCTGCCTCTGGGAGCCATACCTGTGTCTATTAGTCTGGCAGTGCCTTGTGGGACTTGGAGTTCCACAACAGCTTGGAGGGCCGGAGTTGCCTACCCCTGCATTACACTGAGGATTTCTCTGTTCACAGGCGACTTACCTGCAACCTTACAGGACACCCAGACCTCTCTTTCCACCCTCCTAAAAGAAAAGAGATCTTCGTTAAAGTGGACCTGTCACTAACTGTACAAATGTATTCCCGACATGTCACAATTATACAACAGTGTCATTTGTTATCCGGGGGCCGCCGTCTACTTCCCAGTTCCCAGGTTTGTTTACAGTACATTCTCATACATAGAGAGTAAGGACGTTCCATTTGGCAAAGATGGCAAACCCCCGGCATTGATTCTGGACATGATTGTGTTGTCATGGTACCTCAGGGGATCATAAGGAGCCAAAGGCCTACAAGGTGTCCATGTACACCTCTGCTGGGCAGTGAGCACACAGGACCTGGCCTGTGCAGCCCCCTAAACACACATACAGCACACACTGCATCATGTGACAAACCATAACATTATTAACTCCATCAGGTGACATCCCATAACATTAATAACTCCATCAGGTGACATCCCATAATATCAATAACCTGATTTTTTTCCCCACAATCACCTCTCCCCCACCTGAGACTCTGAGCCCAGTCACTCTGGATGTAAATCCGGGCGGACATTTTGCTGGAGACCAAACACACCCGGAAGTACATATGCAACGCCCCAGAAGTATATTGAGATGAAGGCGGAAAATTGCGCTATGTGTCTCCATTTCCGGTACGCCGGAGTTTTCTGACTAGCGTATCCCTGACAATATGGCCTCCACCGCCCGTGACAGATGTCTCCGTTTTACCGCCATTTTCTGTAGGATCAGCTCCTTCTGTTTGTATGGAATGGTCTCTAACAAAATGGCCGACGCAGTGATAATTTGATGGCGTAAACCGAGGACAGTTATGAAATCACATGGAAAGTACTACAAGGCAGGGAGACTACTGACATTAGAAAGTGGTGTAAAGAGAGAAGTGAGGGGTAGGAGAGGACACAGGGAGAAACAAGAGACTCCAGCCTGTCCAGGTGAGACATCATCTATCACACATTATATAATAATATATGTCATGTTCTGCTCCTGATTACCAGGGAAGGCTTCTTCTTCAACCTTGCTAGATTCTATTTTTTTGTATTACTATCTTCCAGGAAATCTATCAAAAGCCTGATGTATTTTTATTTTTTTTTACCTCCCATGGAGTTTACCATTGCTGACCTCCTTCTGACTGTCATATTGATCCTCTGGCTTCAATACCTTGTGTCCCTGGCTAAACAGATCAGAAAAGTCAGTAGTCCTTCTCTGCACGCTTGTTTCAGGCCAGGGGACTTGGTGCTGAAGACAGGGGCTCGGCATGACAGCCAGGCAATGGCAGGCTGGGTGTTCCTCTCCAGCTCCAAGCACAATGTAAAGTAAAATGTAAGCAGTGAAGGGGCCGCTGATGTCAATCCCTGGCTACTCTGGCTGGGTGAGTAGCTGATCGAGCCCAGTCAGCTTCAACAGAGTTCAGAGGTGACGTTTGGGGTCACATAGACACCCCCCAATGTCTTCCTAAAGAGAACGTGTCACCTGCCCTGTGCCATCACATAGAGGGCTTATTAGCAGCCTCGTCATAGCAAAAAGTTGAAATAATGTTACAAAAAAGATAAACATTAAAAAAAAACATTGCCCCCTCCCTGCATTGCCTCTGACACAGCCCCTTTCTGCAGTATATACCGTATATTCCTAGTTTGCCTCCCTGATTCTACTTCCTGCCCTCTGTGTCCCATACAGGATGTCCGCCCCAACGCCGCGGCCTCACGACCGCAGCCTGAAACCAGAGGACGAGGACGACCCGCTGGACCAGATGATCGCTCGCACCGGCTGCACGGCCTTTCATTACGCGGTACAGGAGTGCATGGCGGAGCACCAGGACTGGAGGAAGTGTCAGACGCAGGTGCAGGACTTCAAGGAATGCATGCAGGACTATCAGAAGAAAAGGACCGAGGGGCTGCTGAGGAAAAGGAGTCCGCTGAAGGGACAGGTCTCCTAGTCCGGGACAGCGCTGCCCAAGAGGGACCGACCCGACACACACATAGATCCGAATCATGGACTGTGGAGGAAGGCTGAAAGAGACCCTGTCACCAGAACATTCATTTCACCAACAGTCTTCCTATAAAATGATATTGAGCATATTCTCTGCATGTTATTTCCATGGAAACGTCTCCCTTGTGTAGATTTCCAAGAGCCCCGAGACTGCTGCTGGGTGCCGCCATGTTGGATGTGATGTCAGCAGACTCAGAACTGTCACTCAAATGACACTCTGTAGCAGGGGTGGGCAACTCTGACCCTCCAGCTGTGCTAAAACTTAAATTCCCATCATGCCTCTGGAAGTCATGGCTGAGTCTTGCAATGCCTCATGAGACTTGTAGTTCCGCAACAGCTGGAGGACCTGTACCCAAAGAGCCTGCATAGATCTTGAGGTATCTGCTCCCAGCAGCCCCAAGTACCCAAAATGCTCTTTCAGCTACACCAGAGGAAGTCTATACTGACAAATTCAGTTAGTAATAAAAAATTAGGGATGCAGCGATACCGGTTTTTCGGTATAGAGTATTGATATTTTTTTTTGTCGGTACTCGCCGATACCGAGCCTTGTGACCCGATTATCAGGAAGTCGGGCGGCGGATCATGACCCGTCGCCCGGCTTCCCGATTGCCTGTGAAGCCGGTGTTCTAGCGAAAAAACACAGGCTTCAGAGGCTGGCTGACCAGTCAGGAAGCCGGGCAGCGAGTCATGAGGTGCTGTCCAGCTTCCTGATTGGTTAGGAAGCCAGATTGCTTAACAACGCGTGAAGCCGGCTTCCTAGCCAATCATGAAGCAGAGGCAGTACTTTATGATTCGCCTCCCAACTTCCTGATTGGCTAGGAAGCCAGCTTCACTTGTTCCTAGGCAGTCTGGCTTCCTGACCAATCAGGAAGGCGGGTCATTATGTGCCGCAACGCTTCATGACTGATTAGGAAGCCAGGCTGCTTAGCAACACATGAAGCTGTCTTCCTTGCCAATCAGGAAGCTGGGAGGCGGGTCATAACCCACCGCCTGGCTTCCTGATTGGAAAGAAAGTCGGCTCCATGCTTCCTTGGCACTGTTGGACAGAGGGAGATCTCCTTCTGACTGGAAGTTCCGGTATTGGAGCATTTGGGCGAGTACTCGCCCAAATACTCGGTATCGGCACCGATACCAATACTAGTAACGGTACATCCCTAATAAAAAATAACGGGAGAGTGAAATATGTGAGAGGCCCGCCAGACCAGGATCCATCGGGGACACTTGTTCCAGTGACAGCGATCACTTTGGGGAGATTTCTTCTCACTTCCTGTGGTGTCAAGAGCACAGGAAGTGAAGGGAAATCTCCCCCAGTGTGTAGGGTAGGAGAAGGATCTGAAACCCCGTCAGGTTTCTTTAGGCTGTCCCTATCCCTGTTGGGGAGATTTTCCCCTTATTAGTCCAGGTGACAGAAAGTGATGGGAAATCCGAAATGTTACCGGTGTCACCAGAACCGAAGGTGAGGGAAAAATCTTTCAATGGGGACACCTGTTTTGGTGACATCCGTCTAAGACAGGGGTAGCCAAACTCCGGCCCTCCAGCTTTGGGTGAAACTACAAATCCCATGGGAATTGTAGTTTCACACCAGCTGGAGAGCCTACCCTTGCTTTAGGGCTTTCCCAGTCCTGCATGCTTCCATATTGTGTATATGTAACCATGCCAGTGCTAGGAGGTTAGGTTGCGGAGTTTGGCAGGGAAAACCCAACTTCTACTCCGGCCACGGCAGCCGGAGAAAATGACAAATCAGTGGATTCATAAAGCAGAGGGGAGATCGGCCACTGAAAGTGCTAATCTCCCTCCAGTCAAGCTGCTCACACCCGCCGTGCCAGTCCCGGGCCTGCATGAGGGACAGCCGGCAGTAGAGGTGGGAACTCTTTTGTAGCAGCATACAAGTGATCGGGCAGCTCTACAGCGGGGTGGCAGCTGAAAAACAGCAACAACTGATATCCTTCCCTCAAGGCATTGTGCTATTTGCATAACTCCTCCCAAAAGCCAGCCCCCTGTTTGCATCAGGGCTGAGGGCTCATGGGAGGAGTACTGAGACAGGGTGCTGCGATGTTTTCAGGAAGCTATGTACAACCCCCTGCCAGACCCTCCCACCAGCCATGATCTTCCTGCATCACAGAGACTAAAATAAGGTGTGTAATGAAAATGTAAAGCATTGGGGGAGGGGCAAGGCATAAAGTTCAGCTTTAAATTCTAAACAGTTGACGAGGTCCCGTGGCTCCTTTAAGGCCGTGCACTCCTCTTGCTAAACAGATATACACGTTTCCAGTAATTCACTTTTATTGTTAAATATTACAAGTATCGTATTTAAAAAAAACAACAACATTTAATGTCATCCATAACCTGCAGCAGCTCTGACCGCTGCTTAGCATCTCACACATCAGTGCTGTACGAAGTGTGGGCCGATCTCTCCACTTCACAGATGATCGGCGTATCTGCCATTCATTCGCTTCTTTCATCCTCTAGTCATGTGACTTTGCGGGGGGGTCTCAGGTCATTGCGGCTTTCATCTTTTCTACTTGTGGCCGGGCCTTGAACCTCTTCAGGTAATCCTCCTCTGTGTGCTGCGGAGATACAACATAATAATGTCTGAGATACGGGGAAGGGGAACACAACGAAAGCTTAGCAAAAAGGAGACTTCCAACTTTTAAAGGGACCCACTGTCACTGTTTTCACTCAAGGTTCTCTTGTAAGAACACCCTCAACCTCCATATACAAGACCCTATATACCATGGACCAGCTGTGTATATACTGTATATACAGGTGAAACTCGAATAATTAGAATATCGTGCAAAAGTAATTGCAGTAAGTGCTGCAAAAGGGGCCCAAACCAAGTACTGAGTACATATGCATGCTGGTACTTTTCAGAGGTCCGATATTGTTCCATGTACAATCCTTGTTTTATTGATTGCATGTAATAATCTACTTTTTGGAGATTGTGGATTTGGGGTTCTTGGGGTTTTCATGAGCTGTAAGCCATAATCATCACAATGATGACAAATCACGGCTTGAACTATCTTGCTTTGCATGTAATGAGTCTCTCTCATATATTAGTTTCACCGCATAAGTTGCATTAGTGAAATAAATGAACTTTGCACGATATTCTAATTATTCGAGTTTCACCTGTATCTACATAGATGAAGAGTACCGCAGCTGGGACTATAAAGACCTCCCAGAGGTGAATGTAGGGACAATAAAAGGACTGACTAGACCACCAAGGCTCCCTACATAGTATAGAACAGCGGTCGCCAACCTTTCAGACCTCATGGACCACTAAATTCATCATTTAAAAATCCTGCGGACCACTAATACGAATTTTAAACAAAATATATACCGTATTTTTCTCTCCATAAGACGCGCTTTTTTCCCCCCAAAAGGGGGGCAAAAATGTCTGTGCGTCTTATGGAGCGAATTCCTATCGCCCGATGCCAGGGACATGCAGTTTCGGTCGCGTAGTTGTTTTGTACATTGAGCCGTGCTCCTGACAAGCAGAGCTAAATGTACAGTGTGGGGTCGTTTAATGAAAGTGATCTAATCAGATCATCAGATCACTTGTATCAAATCGAGCGGCGGCGATTGTGTCCAGACCCCCCCTGCCGTGGTTTTCGGGGGACCCGTGACCACGACATAGAAGCTCACCTTAGAGCCCGTAGAACGTCCGTTCTTCGTCTGCTCTGTGTGATAACTCAGACCATGGTGCTGTAATCACAGCGCCACCTGTCTCAGCTGTCACAGAGCCCCTGCGTCCTATTGTCCGGTGCTCCTTATGGAGCGCAAAATAGTGTGTGTGTGTGTGTGTGTGTTGCCCCCAAGTGACCTTTGGAAATGCCACCATGGGCAACAGCCTAAGGCTGCCTTATAGGGAAGATGCTGACTGCCACTATGGGGGTGAAGCATAGCTCTAAAGTAAAGGAATTGAGCCCCACAGTTAGAGTTCACCCAGGAATGGGAGCGGGATCAGAGGGGACTAAAAGGAGAGGCGTCTGCAGGCAGTGGCTGCTCTTGCTCCATACTGGTAGGAAGGCCAGTGAAAAGGTCAAAACGAATCCACAATATGTGTAACAATATCTGAGAAAAGCTCTCTTACCTCTTTGACCAGTAGCTGGACCCCTTCCGGCTGATTCATCATGAGGACCTCCAGAATAATAGAGGCCATAGTAGCTTTGAGGCCGCTCACCTAAGAAGATACCACCATGAGTATTCTGTACCAGCAACATTTTGGACAAGGCCACAAATTAAAACCCACCAATGAATTGTTAATGGCATTCAAGAAGCATTGCCAGTCCGTGCCTCCTGCTGTGCAGAAAGACAGAAGGAGGCAGAGCCGTGTGAGACTTCACTAGTCAAGTGAGCTCCGCACTCAACTTCAGCTGCATATACAGCCAAGTCCACCAATATACACCTATTGATCATTCCAGCGTGTAGTCCCTCCCTCAGCTTGTACGCACCATTCTTTCACACCACCGTTGATCTGTTCGGCTGCCAGAAGATAATTAAAATTGCCAATACTTCCAGGTATGTGGAAGCATTGACAGGTCTCCTATGTGACAGAGGCAGGGCTGATTGGCCAATCAGAAACCGGTGCTCTCACATGGGAGCAGAGAAACGTTCTGAGCCCAGGACACGATGGCAGCCAAAATGAACTGCGGGGGGAAGGAAAGGTAAGCTTTAAGTGTCATTTGTCTAACACTAGTATGTGTGCCCGTTAAAGCCAGCGCTTAAAATAAAAAACGCATACATGATGCAGTCGGTCACCAGCATTAAAGAGACCCTGTTGCCAAATCATTCATTTCAACAGAAATATTCCCATAGGATTATATGAGCATTTAACATATTTCATGCATGTTATTTTCCTGTAAAAGCCTCCCTCGTGTAGACTTTCAAAAGCCCGGAGACTGCTGCTGGGTGCCGCCATCTTGGATGTGATGCCAGGCGACTCATAAGTGTCACTCAAATGACACTCTATAGCAGGCGTGAGCAAACTCCGACCCTCCAGCTGTGGTGAAGCTAAAACAATTCCATGAGGCATTGCAAGAATCTCACAGCCACAGGCATAACTCGCAGAGAGAAATGCATCAAAAGATTTGTAGTTTCACCACAGCTGGAGGGCTGGAGTTTGCCTACCCCTGCTCAATAGCAAAAAGGTAGGCAAACTCTGGCCCTCCAGCTGTGGTAAACCTACAAATCTCATGTATCCGCCTCTGGGAGTCATGCCTGTGCCCTATGGAACTTGTTATTCCACAACATCTGTAGGGCTGAAGTTTGGATACCCCTGATCTACAGTACTCCGCTCTTCCCCCGGCAGCTACAGAAAAGGTTATGTAGGGAGGTGAGAGGAGAAGGAGGAGGAGCTGGCCCAGCACAGATAGTATTTAGATCCTCCCAGAAGAAGACATGGCTATGATGTGCATGGAGGGAGGTGGGCTGTGCTTGGGAACTGACTCTTCCTAAATAAGTCAAATTTTCTAGCGTGTTCAGAGTCACATTGCAAGTCAATACAAACTGAGTCATAAAAAAGAAACCACTGCCAGTCAGCATTTGAAATACTTTTTTAAATTGGTGACAGGGTCTCTAAGATTCTCTAGGAGGCACACACATGCACAATATTGGCTGGAGGGGAGGTAGATTGTGGAAGGCCCTGAGGAAGGGGACCCTGCGAGGGCCCGAACGTTGGCTATGTGACCAATGTGGCATCCCTAAAACGGATCAAACCATCCATTTCTTGCTGAATCAGCAAACTTTTCATCACAGGGCAGCCCCCCCCCACCCCGCACCACCCAGCTTGATTGTCAAAATGTTGGTTGCAGTCACTGTTCAACCAATGAGCTACAGTTACTGTTCAGGTATTCCGACAGCCACGGAGTGACAGCAGTGGAGATTCATCCATCCACGCGGGCTGAACTGGACACATTCCAACGTGTGTGGCCAGCTTTAGGGACTTTGCTGTTTAGTTCCCATCTCTGCACTGTAGGGCAGCTCCACTCCCTGCAGGATTTATTTTTAAAGGATATTATTGATATTGAAACAGGAGTAATGGGAAAACCCCCAAAGTGGACAGGAACTGGCAGGGGGATCTCAGCGAGTCCACGAAACATAAAAAATAAACCAGTTGGCGACTCTGCTCAGCAAGATCTACATAGAACTGATATATGACTTCTAACTTTGAAATCAACTATCGCGCAATGAAGTCTGGTCTCACCTGGACGACCCTCTCATGGGTGGTGATGGCGCAGTCGACAGACATCTTGGTCCCCACGTCCTGCTGCAGCATAACCTCTGTGGTCTTGCTCGGCAGGGCATAGCTGGAGAAAACACATCAATGATGAAAACTGACGGAAAACTAAAAGAAAATTCCACCAAAAAGCCACAATGTCATTTACATCACACAGACCCGTCACCTACCTAAACACTGCAGAAAAATCAAGTATAATAAAAGCTTTATTCACGAGTATACCTTTCTAGTAATTATTTATTTACTTGCCTCTGAACATGCTAAAAAACCTGATGACTCCAGGAAGAGTCAATTCCCCAGCACAGGCCCCTCCATCCATGCGCATCTTAGCCCTCTGTACACCTGCTGTGACCATTATGAGGGGCTTCCCACCATCCCTGAGCTGAGTTCTCGGGTCTGTACACCTGCGCTGCCCATTATTAGGGGGTCCCACCATCCCTGTGCTGAGTCCCCGGGTCTGTACACCTGCTGTGCCCATTATGAGGAGCCCCCACCATCCCTGTGCTGAGTTCCCGGGTCTGTACACCTGCGCTGCCCATTATGAGGGGGTCCCACCATCCCTGTGCTGAGTCCCCGGGTCTGTACACCTGCTGTGCCCATTATGAGGAGCCCCCACCATCCCTGTGCTGAGTTCCCGGGTCTGTACACCTGCGCTGCCCATTATGAGGGGGTCCCACCATCCCTGTGCTGAGTCCCCGGGTCTGTACACCTGCTGTGCCCATTATGAGGAGCCCCCACCATCCCTGTGCTGAGTTCCCGGGTCTGTACACCTGCGCTGCCCATTATGAGGGGGTCCCACCATCCCTGTGCTGAGTCCCCGGGTCTGTACACCTGCTGTGCCCATTATGAGGAGCCCCCACCATCCCTGTGCTGAGTTCCCGGGTCTGTACACCTGCGCTGCCCATTATGAGGGGGTCCCACCATCCCTGTGCTGAGTCCCCGGGTCTGTACACCTGCTGTGCCCATTATGAGGAGCCCCCACCATCCCTGTGCTGAGTTCCCGGGTCTGTACACCTGCGCTGCCCATTATGAGGGGGTCCCACCATCCCTGTGCTGAGTCCCCGGGTCTGTACACCTGCTGTGCCCATTATGAGGAGCTCTCACCATCCCTGTGCTGAGTTCCCGGGTCTGTACACCTGCGCTGCCCATTATTAGGGGTTGCCACCTCCCTGTGCTGAGTCCCCGGGTCTGTACACCTGCTGTGCCCATTATGAGGAGCTCCCACCATCCCTGTGCTGAGTCCCCGGGTCTGTACACCTGCTGTGCCCATTATGAGGGACTCCCACCATCCCTGAGCTGAGTTCCCGGTCTGTACATGTACACCCGCTGTGCCCATTATGAGGGCATGCACTAGCGCGAGCGTGCGCACGCACACACTACATTGTGAGGAGCTCACAGTGTGCGGTGAGATCAGAGGAAGTAATTTCACTCCAGGAGAAGAGCTGTGCAAGACAGAAGGGATGGCCGGTGTTCAGCTTTATTTTTTAGTCCTGGCCATAATAATTACATAAGCAAATGCCCCAA